GTAGCTCTAACTCTGCTCACGTCCCATCCCCATGGCAAAGTGACAACACAGACCCGTCCTGCACCTCCCGCCTGTGCCGGGCAGCCCTCCGGGAGCCGCTGCTTGCCCTGCTCAGAGGGCCAAGCCAAGCCGTTACCTTTTCAAGTGCTCTAGCAGGAAGAGGAAGGTGATGAGGTTGGGGTCAGGCAGCGAGCGGAGAAGGTGCATCATGCAGTTCTCCTTGGCAGCAGGGTCCGAGGCATGCAGAAGCCTATGGCAGGGCGGGGCTCTGCGAGGATCAAGTCCCAGGACTAGTGCCCTGGTAAGGAAACCGTACATGCAGTAGTTTGCAAATCTGGGACCACGATGGCTTGCCCTGCCCCGCAGGGCTCTGCCTGCGCCCTGGGGAGCAGCACCGCAAGCCCCGAGCTGGCCTGGAGCCAGCAAGAACAGCCAGGACCCAGTGGGCTGAGCTGGGAAGGACCCTCGGGAATCTCCCATCCTGGAGCAGGCAATGCCAAACAGCCACGCTTGGGCACTGACCCCTTCCCCATCCCCCAGCCCTTACCGATCCCCTCCATGAAGGCGGGGTAGAGTCTGTCAGTGAGGAGGGGCTCAGGCAGCTCGCGGAAGTACAGCTTCAGCGTGCCGGCGATGGCGTTGATGTCCATGTCACTCAGCATGACCAAGATGTCCTTGTTATCTGTCCAGAGAGCACCCACATGTGACACCTCCTGTGCCTCCTTCCCCTCTGGGTCTCAACCCCCCGTGTCACCCCAGTTATCCGGACAGGCTGCCAGCCGGAGGGCAGGGACAGCATTGCCGGGTCCACGGCCCCGTTTAGCCAGGCTGGGGCTGGGAAGAGCCGAGTGGTTCCCGCCTGGCCGGGCAACAGGACATGGAACAATTTGCAAATCAATTTGCAACGTTGCCCTGAGTCAGTGTCTCCCAGGAGCTGGCCAGGCGCGGCGGCAGCTCAGAGACACCAAGGCTGGGACCTCTGGGCGTTTGCTTTCGCAGCTACACCCTCCTCCTCGCCCCCAGACCCTTCCTGGGCACACCGGCACATTTTGCACACATGCAGTGCAATAACCAGACCCTGGGCTTGCAGGGCAGGGGACCGGGGGAGGTCTCGGTGCCTATGAACCCTCCCAGGGGAACGTGACATGAAGGGCGGCCATCCCCCAGGACACTCACTTGCATCGAAGACAGCTTTCAACGCCTGGATGTCAGTGGCAACGCCAGAGATCCTGTAGATACCGACCTCTTCGATGCCCCTCTTCTCCACCTCCTCGATGCACTGGCGCACGATGTAAGGCACCTTGGAGCGCTCGCGCCTGGCTCGGAAAGCAGAGGCGTGAGCAGAAATTCCCGGGGG